AAATATAATCACATGCACATCATTAAAGTGGGGACTATACTGCATGATTAATAAATTGCTGAAAAGGCAATGTAGGATAGTGTCTTGCAAAAGTCCATGTACATGGAGCTTAATGGTCGGTGGTTTATTGGAGGTTTTTCAAAAGTGGGTTCACATCAAATACATCTGCCAAGCCCCCATGCAATCAAATGCATATCAATGTGATAATCTTCAAAACACCTGCATCCGATTGCTGCATTGCAAAACAGCATAAAGATAGTGAATAGTAAAAATCTCAATGATAGTTCCTACTGCTGGTAACTGTCTCCAATCATCAATAATAAGGCATCATGAGAAACAAAGCAGCGACATAGAGATATCTTGTAGATCATGCAGTATGGTGATCAAATAGGCAATGTGTTGGTAAAAGCTCAGACTGCCTAAGCAGAGATGTAAATTAAGAGTGTCCACTCAAATTAAGGAGTTTAAACAGCTCATTTAGGAAAGGATAAGTATATATGTATAGAAGAAGGAAGTCCAATGCAGTATACATTGAGCAAGGATAATGGTAGTTAGAGCATGATACCATAGCCAAATATAACGGTTGAGTTGAAATAGTCACTTACTGCCACCTTCGGTCAGTGCACTGTGATAAATTCACTAGGTAATATGAATGCTTCACTTTACAATATAGAGCTGTTCCCATTACCATGAGTTGCTACTATTGGTGTGCCTCCATGGTGCTTAACAGGAATAACGGTTACTCCAATATGATGTGCTTTGTAGATTGGCTTCCGTCCATCCATGTGGAATCCAGCTCCTTGACCCATTATATGTAGTAAGTGGGCCAAAAGCTCTTTAAGATGTCTCTCTCCTCCAGTATCCCTTTCTGGTTTGTTCTCCAGGACGTTTATCTCCAACTCCAAAATTCTCCTCCAATGCATATGTAAAGGAAAGAAAACCAGGAGGCAGCTTCCAATAGTGTAAGACAATAGGAAATCTGATTTTTTTTTTTAAATAACAAACATGTCAAACGTACTTGCAATGGTTTTGCACAGAGCAGCCCTGAACCTCCTCTTCTCGGGTCCCCTGATGGCGCTGCTGGCACTTCCCCCCCACTGAATGCCCCCATAGCAAGTCTGGGGGCACTTGTGTGTGCTCACTCTCGAGCCGAGTTGTGTGTGTCCACATGACACAGAGAGTGGGGCTAGGCCCTACTCCCTCACCATCCCTGTCACCGGCTCTGATTGACAGCGCAGGAGCAAATGGCTGCTGTATCTGAGCCAATGAGGAGTGGGAGAGCCCGAGAGAGACTCGGTTCTCGTGCACATTGCTGGATCAAGATTGGGCTCAAGTAAGTATTGGGGGTGGGGGGGGGGGGCTGTGGGGGAAGCTGCATGTAGAATTCATGCATAGAACCTTCATGCATAGAATGTAAGGTAAAAAAAAGTCTGCCTTTACAACCACTTTAAACTGCACTTTATTGAAGCACTTTCTTTATTTATGATGTTTATTTATGTATGTTTTTTTCCACAACTAATTTGTACACAGAATGTATATTGTGCGATATATAGCACCACACCAATATTTTATTGTTTTTTGCTCATTATACCCAATAATAGTAGGGTATAAAATGGTGTTTTGGCTACTATCACTTAACAGTGGCAGTTGATAGCACAGGGCTCCCAGTAAATATACCCCGACTTACTGATTGGATACCGCACATCCTAGAAGGAGGTTCATTGTCAGCTAATGTTTACTGCAGAAGAGCCTAATCGGCTTTGAGAACTGGCCCTTCCTCTAATAGTCTGGTTCTGCCAGGAAGGGGATCCAGGAGTCTTGGTACAGGAACTCCTGCAATACTGCAAAGCCAAGTACAGGACCTCCATTGCAGCAGCACAGCTTGGTCAAACACACACCCCCCAGCCTACTGATTGGACACCACACATTCTGTAAAGAGGTTCATTGTCAGTATATATTTACTGAAGAAAAGCCCAATTGGCTTCTAGAACTGGCCCGCCTTCTATTAGTCTAGTTTCTGTCAGGAAGGTGATGATAGGAGTCTAATATCAAAGTGATACTAAAGGTTCAGATTTTTTTTTAACTAACAAAAATGTAATTCTTACCTGCCCTATGCAATGGTTTTGCACAGAGCAGCCCCAATCCTACTCCTTTTAGGCCATCCTGGATTCTCCCCCCTGCTTGCTCTGGGGCACTCATGTGTGCTCGCTCCTGAGCAGCCTTTGCATGCCTATAAGACACATAGAGTGCAGTTCGGCCCTGCCCTGCCCTACTTCCCTATCCCTCTCTGGCTGTGATTGACATTGACTCCCACTGCTGTGTCTCAGTCAATGAGTTAAAAACCTTCAGCCTTTATAACCACATTAAGACACACAGGCACCTAAACTAGTTCCGTTTAGAAATCCATTTAATAAGTTTTTAATGAATATAGTCTTCTGTCGTAATTATAAGCAGCATTTGGCAACTTTCAAAAACTGCACTGCTAGTTTGTAGAAAAAGAAAAAAGGAAAGGAAAGCAAAGTTACAATTTATTTATTTTACCTTTTACTCAATTCTTTACACTTTTAATGAGGATGAATCCCCTTAATCATGCAGACAAATTCATCTTCCTTCAATATGAGAAATACAATCTGATCATTTGAAAAAATATATAGAACTCACATCTTTGCTATGTGGTGCTTTGCCATTTAAAATCTGTTTTATGCTTGTGCTATATACCGTTTTTATTTCTTTTGTGCATGATTGATCTTTTGTTTATGACAGCCGAGATGTGCACCAAAGTACATTTTTAATTTTACAGCAAAATCCATATGCACCCTCCAGTCATAAAATAGGACTGCAGTTTTATGAGTGACTCACTAGTCATAAATAATTCAGGTGGTGTTAATTAAACATTCAGACTTTCTTACTGGTTGCCCATGCTTGTTTATTTTGGTGGCAGCAATTACAGTTACAGTTCCATGACATATATTTATTAAGAAGTTTTTTTGGTTGCCTCAGATTACTGTGAGAAAGTAGTTTGTTTTTACAGAAGTAAACATCATTTTACAAAGAGAATTCTGTAAAAATTTTGAACCAAGCTACTGAAAATGCCCATGGGACTTTAGTAAGGTACATCAAACCACCAACAAAAACTAATATATAAAGACATCAATCCTTTACTTTATCCAAATATAAATATATTTTGCTTTTGCAAGGCAAAAAAATTTGAAAAAGAGAAAAAGAAGTTGATTTTCTGTTGTCAGTCTCCTTAGCATCATTTATACATGATCTCATATTTCATAATAGCATTCATGCTAGATTTTCACAAACATTGCATATAAAACAAAAATGAAAAAGTATCATCAATCTCAATGTGGTTTGTGAATATTCACTTCATCAGGAGTGGATGATAGTGACAAGGTTTTAATCAGTTTCAGATATACACTATATTGCCAAAAGTATTGGGACGCCTGCCTTCAAACGCATATGAACTTTAATGGCATCCCAGTCTTAGTTGCACAGGTGGCAACCTATCAGAGTACCATGCTTGAATTCACTGAGCTCCTGAGAGTGACCCATTCTTTTACAAATGTTTGTAGAAGCAGTCTGCATGTCTAGGTGCTTGATTTTATACACCTGTGGCTATGGAGGTGATTGGAACACCTCAATCCAATGATTTGGTGGGGTGTCCTAATACTTTTGGCAATATAGTGTACATTAAAACCATTGCAATTTTGGATGGTACCCTCACAAAAAGTTGACATATGAAATAATTTTGTTAATAATTGGCACCACAAAGGTTTATTGAGGCAGTAAAGCATTGCACATGCAGTAATAACATTTAATTTTGCATCTGTGCCATAAAAATAGGTGTGCCATATGTGATCTATCTATCTATCTATCTATCTATCTATCTATCTATCTATCTATCTATCTATCTGTCTGTCTGTCTGTCTGTCTGTCTGTCTATCTATCTATCTATCTCTCTCTTTCATGAATTTGAATTATTTTAAACTGAAACTATTCAATAATATGACAAAGGCTAAGATTCTAAAATACTAATGAAAATGGATGATTACACTATGAAAAGGAAGTTTTTTTTTGCTATGTAAGGTTATAATGTTTCTAGAACTTTTGGAAGGGAGGTATGCCTCCTTGGTAGCTGTTGTTGACAGGAGCCTTTGCAAGCAGCAAACTTTACCTGCCTCATTAGACTTGTAGTCAGTACTGGTGGAAAGTGTCCAGAGTAGCCTTCTCTGTAAAGCCATGTAGCCTATATCTCCTTGCAGAGTGGCCCACCTAGGAATGGTGTGATGCATGTTGGACCACCAAGCCTATGGGGGTTCAATGCTCCTACTAAACATTTCCAGAGTATCTCAGTACAAACTGTAAAATGAGTCACAAACAGCTCAATATACTGTAAAGTATGATAGACAGCTTGCACAGATCTTTTGCCTTTTTTTCACCACTGGAAAATGTAACCAAGAGTAAAGAATAAAACAGTGTATAGTATGTGTGAATACCTTGCTGCTAGTGCCACCAATCTACCCATGGATGAAGTGAGGACATGGTGAAGTGTGTCTTCATAGTGTAAGGTGTGGACATACCCCAGGGTTTGGCACTAAAACAGACCTCTGCTTACAATATGGCTAAGTAGTTGGCACCTCTGCCTAGCAGCACTAGGGTTGTTGGTTCAAATCCTAACCATAGAACTACATGCCTGGGGTTTCCACCTGCCTGTATAGGTTTCCTCCAGGTACTCTGGCTTTCTTCCAGACTCCAAAGACATTCTGGTAGAAAAATTGTCTTCTGTCTAAATTAGTCCTAGTCAGGGGTGGACTGACAACTCATGGGGCCCCTGGGCAATAGGGGATCATGGGGCCCCTGTGTCCTTGCCCAAACTCAAAAAAGCCTATGAAAAAGGTACCAGGGGCATCTCATGGGGCCCCCTACTGACCCTGGGCCCTCGGGCAGTGCCCGAGTTTCCAAATGGTCAGTCCGCCCCTGGTCCTAGTAAGGACCTATGAATGTTAAGGACCTTAGACTGTAAGCTCCTTGAGGGCTAGGATTTAGGTGAACGTACAATATATATATAGTATGTAAAGCGCTGAGTAAATTGTCAGTAAATTGTACATACCTGTAATTATTAATTATAAAAGCCACTTTAGGTGAAAGTCTTTATACCCTGACTTCCCTGATGGAGTAATTTGAAATATTGTTCACAACTGCTATGTTGGAAGTATTCAGCTGTTGTCTGATAAAGCAGTTTGTCCTGTACTTTTGTATCCTTGTTTACAATACACCAACATGCTACCTATTGGAATGCACCGAGGTTAATTTATAGACATCTGTAAGGCTAATAGTGACTACTGACCTGACACCTTTCAAGCAAAGAATAGAAATTGAGCACCATTTTTGGTTGGTTGCAATGATCAATTAAAACTGATCTTTACTGTCATCCGACCATAGCAGCTATGTTTTGTGTTTCCTGGCTGTTTTCAGAACTGTCTTGATATTGACATATCTAAAGACAGATAAACCATATTTTTTAAATGATTTATTTATTCAAACTCATAAAGATATGAGATTGTTATCTCTACCTAAACATTTTTATTTTAGTTAACTGCAGACACTTACTGAATAGTTGGGTAAGATTATCCTCAGTGGTGTGTTTTTTCTCTAAATTTAATAAAACAGCTAGACAATCTTCAGAGCATATGGAACAATCTTTGCATAAATATTTCAGTTGTGTCAACCATTTTCCTGGAAGGTAAATGAGTTTTTTAAATGGGTCTCTTACATGTTGTTTATGAGATCATAACACAACTACCATGACTTTCAAGCATTTTCACACTGGGCTGTTGAGATTAATAATTTAAACCTGGGAGTATTTACTGTGTGTAGGCGAGTTAACAAGCAGAATGCCTACAAAAATTTCAGAAATTTAAAACTTTGCAGGTCGGCTTAGGCACCACTGCAAAGGCCTGGGCAAGACAAACATTTGATCATGTTTTATGTTGAAACATCACTTTGAATTCAAAAACAGACTGATCTGCAGTGATCGAGGAAGGTTAAGCATTATGTACAGTTTTGTTGCTGATGTGGGTTAGAGAAAACAGATGTAGACCTTCTCACTGTCATTTTTCAAAGATGTGGTGTGGGGATCCCAGAATATCTGCTAGAATTTTCACTCTACATATGCATATTCTGCACTTTGCTAAATTGTTAATGTAGAACTATGGGAAAAGTAAAAATGTAATGTAGCCTTAGCCCTTTCGTTGCCAGAGCCGTTGTTGCTTTTTTTGCACATATATTTAAAAATTATTTTAGGTTTGAAGATTACACAAAACCCCCACACATTATATATTTTCTGAAAGCAGACACCCTAGAGAATAAAATAGTGGTAGTTGCAATTTTTTATGTCACCGGATATTACCACTAAGCTCTAGGAAACACGACTTTTCAGTTAAAAACACACTAACGTGAATTGTAGGTGAAACAAGCACAATAAATTACTCAATTTTTTTGTAAAATATAAAAGATGAGGTTGCCTCAAGTAAATAGATACCCAACATGCCAAAGCTTAACTGGTGTGTGCTTATGAAATGGTGACAAACTTCAGTACCCTATATTTTCTATAGGCGATGCTTCAAAAGCATCAGTTTAGTGCTGCAGAGGAAGTCTTGTGCTAGAATTGTTTATCTCACTATCGCACACGGTGATAAGTAACATGAATACCACAAACAAAGTTTCCATGCATAGGCACCCCTACATGTGTGTTTGCATTTGTAGGTGCGTATACGTGGGGGTGTTATGTGCTCGGGTGTAACTTTATTTCTTTGCAATGAAAACATTTTTTTACTTAACTTTTTTTTTCATGACATAGGGGACACAAAGTCCCCTATGTAATGATTTTTAGGTAACGGGTTCTCTTTATTGAGACATGCAGGATCTAAAACACCCTGCACGTCTCCTCAGGACTCCATTAGATGTATTGCAATGCAGATTGCATTGCAATACATGTATCCCTGGATATTCTAGCCGGGAAAAGTGACAGCCGTGACCCAGAAGCGACGTCATACAGGCCTCCTTCCGGGTCACAGAAGAAGGGGAGGAGAGCAGATGTTCGCAGGGCCGGTGCTTCCACTAGGTAAACTAGGCAGCCCCACCTAGGGTGTACTGTCACCTAGGGGTGGCATCACAGGCTGGCACTCTCTCTGTGTGGCCTATTGTCCTCTTGTATGAATTCTTCATTTCTCTGCAGAGTTCCCCTCTCCTCATACACAGGGAATGATGAGGGAATGATGGTATCTTTACTCTACAATTGTCTCACAGCCTATCTATACACATGACCATTTAGTAAATATATATATACATATTAAAAAAATATATGTACTCCATGTAGTAGTGAAGTGTCAGTTCCCCCTAGGAGTGATGACATTAGCCCAGGACCCCGGGCGGTCATCAGTCTCTGATCAGAGGATCCCTACATCTCCGGTACACACCCCTGGCACACACGATCCTCCAGCTGTAACAAGGAGCTGGCTAGTGACCGAATGGGTGTGTCTAGTGCTGGATCTGCCTTCTTCTACACAGCTAGAGCCAATCAATAGGCAGGGTTGTGCTCTGGTTGCAGGGTTAACCCTATGTGAGTAGGATGATCGGGGCCCAATGTGTATGAGAGGGAAGAAGTCTAGTGCTGGGAGGCTGCCTGGACTCTGCACCCTGACAGGAGCCATAAGAGGTGAGCCGAGCCTAGAAGAATGGTGGGTCATGGAGGTGACCAGAGGAGGAGGGGGACGGACAATGGTTGAGGTGAGGGGAGCGGATGCTGATTAATCGCGTGGGATGCCGCCATTTCATGAATGATCCTTTAGCTAAAGGGAGGGGCTGCAGAGGGGAAGGAAGAAAGGACAGAGAATGATACCGGGTGTCTTGCTCCTTGCAGTTTTCCCCTCAGACTCAGTTCCTTACTGCAAGCTGGCCGGTGGCTGCTGATCTCTGTGGAGTTTTATATTTGGTTAATATATATTTTCTCTTTAATTTCGGTCCTGGTGGTATCATATGGCACTTATTTTTGCAAATTAAAAGAAATTTAGTAGTTTCATGTTTTGTTGATTTAATATTCTCTACTTTTTAAAAACATTATTTATTTATTTATTTTTTTTGGGGGGGGGGGGGACCGCGCAAGTAGCTGGTGTTGCCTAAGATGCAAAATAGTTTAGCACTGGCCCTGGACCTTTGTCCACTCTCCTCTTTCCCCTTCACCTGCTGGCACTCACCATGGTGCTTCTCAAACCTGCAGATGGACAAGTTGAGGCCAGGTACATGGGGGGAGCGTATGTGCGTGCGGCGGGGGGGGGGCCGTGGCGGGGGGCACCGGGATCAGGGGCTATGGAAGCAATCGGGCAGCAGTGCAGCCGCCCGACTGCTTCCACCTGACAGGCAGGGGTTTTCCTGTCAGTATTATACACAATCTCAGTGGCTGCAGCTATTGAACTGTGTAGAAAACCCCCGCTGTCAAGTCCATACCACTTATGCAGATAAATTGGGAAAACACTTAATATTTGTTACATGTTTTAATTTACACAGCATAATGTAAAATAACAGTACATAACATAAAAAATATTTTAAAATTGCTGCTTACCTTTATAAATATTCTTTTCTTAAAACCTCATTCATGACAGCATTAATTATATGTTATCATGTAAATCGCTATGATTGGTTATAGCAATCACATGATACACTGGCTGCTCACCGTGGCCGGAAAGCAAGCACCATAACCTGCTGTGTCCAGTGGACACAGCAGTCGCAGGAATGTGCCACTGCAGGCCCAGGGGGCGTGCCAGTGTAACTCACTGATCCATTTTGGCCAGGAAACGGGTGCAACGAACATGTACACCCCCCTTCTTCAAACAGACCAGGCCACATGTCTTTAAAATTAGAAGGGTACCTTGAAAGGGTGGAAAAGTCTCACCCCACATTTGCATGACACCTTGTACCATTGTGGAGAGGATTAAGGGTCTAATCCCTAAATGCTGTCCTCAAAAAGGTATGTAGGGGTTTATGGAGGGGGAACCTGGTGGATTTATCAGAATCATAAGCCTCTTTAGAATAGGAGGACTCCAGATATTCTTCCTCCCCTAGGTCAATAAGTACAGAGTCCACCCCCCATCCCCCCTTCCCCATTATTCATTCTTAAAATAAAAATTCACAAAATGTAAAAAGTAAATAACAACACCTACATGGGTGAAAAGTTAATCAAAACTCCCAAAGTAAATCCAGCATTGGTCACACTGCCGGTGATGTGTATCCTCATCAGGCATTTATAAAAGCTATAGATTATTCTCATTCATAGACACTATAATACAGCTTCTGTGAATGAAAGAGGGGTACAGAAAGGGTGGGCATAGTTAACTTAATGAGTGTATATAAACAGGTCACTTGTCTTTATTAACCTCCACCACACCAGAAAGTTACCAATGCGGTGGGATTGGAGGGCTGAAGATTTCAACTAAAGCAGCAGCCAGCAGTACAAGGGATACATAGCAAAGACTGTAAATAATATCCCTTGTGCTGATTTTTTAAAAAACATTTTTTGACTATACCTAGGCATTAAACAAAATATTGTAAATGAGGTGGAGAGAATGTTATCTGAAGAGATAGGAGAGGAATTATGATACATGGAAATAGAATGTAATACCTTCTTACTCTCCCCTTCATAACAAGTATACAGATTAGGTGGTCTGACTTTGATTGTGGAATAACTTTTTTGAGTCAGATAATCAGAAAGTATTAAAGTCAGAGGATCGCCAGGGATCTGGGAAATTTGCATTTTCTTCAGCAGGTCAAGTATAACATTTTTAAACCAAAACTATCTTCACATCTTGCATATATCAAGAATCTGAATTAGAAATGTACAACTCAGTTTAGGAGATTGTTTGCAGCCATGCAAATAATTACTGAAACAACTGAATGTAGTTTGGAATACATGTGAAAATGCAACCAAAAAGATCTGCGCTTTGGGTGAATTACCAGGTAAAGCAGCTGACACCTAAATTTGTGATACCAAATTCAGAAATACTAAAGCA